CAAACTGGCAAGGGCAGGATCAAAAATTTTAAGTGTATCTTAAGCCCAAACCTAAGGATGGAAAAGAAAGGAAAGGTATTCTCACTTTTGCAAAAATAAATAAACAAAAACCACTTAAGTGCAAGAAATATTTGATTGTCCTTGGCGTTCCATGACAAATAACCTTACCTACTGATAATACTGTAAATATTGAAAGCAATTGCTCAACTAACATTGTGAAGTTGAGTTGAAATGCCAGCCGTTCGTTTTCCCAGAGGGCTCTCGAGCAAATGCTTCTGATCCTGGGGGAAGAGACAACCCCCCAGTACTTAGCTGCTGTAGTCTGGTGGCCATGTTGGGTTTACCTTCACAAAGGGGAAGAGAAGAGGTTTGTGTGTGAGCTGATCTTAAAGCTTGAATTCGTATGGGAAGCCTGAGTACTTGTTGAAGTTTGTATACAAAGAGCAATCTCCTAAACATATTTCGGAAGCAATTTTTTTTCCCTAAGTGTGAGCATAGTGCCCTTCTATACTGAATACTAAGAAAACAACCCCCCAGTACTTAGCTGCTGTAGTCTGGTGGCCATGTTGGGTTTACCTTCACAAAGGGGAAGAGAAGAGGTTTGTGTGTGAGCTGATCTTAAAGCTTGAATTAGTATGAGAAGCCTGAGTACTTGTTGAAGTTTGTATACAAAGAGCAATCTCCTAAACATATTTCGGAAACAATTTTTTTTTTCCTAAGTGTGAGCATAGTGCCCTCCTATACTGAATACTAAGAAATTTGCTGCCCTAACCGGTTTGGCTCAGTGGACAGAGCGTCGGCCTGCGGACTGAAGGGTCCCAGGTTCAATTCTGGTCAAGGGCATGTACCTTGGTTGTGGGCACATACCCAGTGGGGAGTGTGCAGGAGGCAGCTGATTGATGTTTCTCTTTCATCGATGTTTCTAACTCTCTATCCCTCTCCCTTCCTCTCTGTAAAAAATCAATAAAATATATTTTTAAAAAAAAAGCAATTTGCTGATGCTGTTACCCCTGTGCTCACACATCTGCCTTCCTCATCCTTGCTCCTTTTCTCCCTCCCTCTTAGCCTCTCTTGTGTTTCTCTCCTTTCTGCCTCCCCAGTTTGCCCACCGTTCTTTGGTTTCCTCTTCTGATCCCTAGAGTCCTGTGCAGTTTCTCGCCTTCCCTGGTTGCCCGGCCCTTCCCATTCTGCCCGCAGTGGACTCTGGGCCTCCCAGCCGGGTGGGGTTTCACTTGGGTAAATTACCACATCCTGGAGCACCGTCCAGCAGTGTTTCCTTAAGACGCAGGAGTTAGAGTCAGTGCATTCAGGGGGTGAGGGTGGGCGGAGGGAAACCATTTCCTGGGGTGGCTCTCCAGAGAATGGCTGTGTATGCCTCCACAAGGTGAAATTGAGTGAAGATGACCCTGGAGGTAAGTCTTGGGTTGGGGCAAAAGGAGAAGGGCCTGTAGGGTGATGGTGAAATCTCAGTGGGGCAGCTGGGGCTGCAGGTTGTGGCTGGGTTCATGAGCTGAAGGTCTTCCTTCCTTCCTTCCTTCCTTCCTTCCTTCCTTCCTTCCTTCCTTCCTTCCTTCC